CAGGGAAGTTGTCACACAGTGCAGTCACTGCTTCTCCCACTGAACACTCAAGAGTGAAACAAATGCTATTAAAAAACCCCCCAGCATTTCCCTATGTATGACGAGGTAGCAGCAGTATCAACATTAATGTATGAGAAGAATCCATTGGGTTTGGTGAGTCGCCTACAACCCTTGTATTGTCAAAGGGCACCTACTCAAAGAGCAGTTGCATCTAACCAGGTAGTACCTTGCAGGAGCAACTCATCCCGCAGTGGAGGCCAACACTTGATCAGGAATCATACACTGAACTCCATCGATTTGTTGCAAAGATCTTGGCTGACTTTAAAGGTCCTCAAAAGCAGTCCACCAAAAGTTAGGTAAAATGAATCCCTCCAAACATTGTCAAGGTCAACAATGAATGGTCTTGAAAATATCTTGGAAGTTATCAGACAATCAAGTGGTGTGCACAGGTTTTCAGGTGAGGAAGCAGTTGCTATATATAGACACATATCTCTGCTGCATGTGCATTCCTCCCTGTCTTTTTTTGCACATTGCAAGAGAAATCTCATTTTGTGTTATATTCTGCTGAAACTGCTGCACTTTGTGGTTTGTTAAAAGTTTTGCTTGCAGCACTTCCCACTTCTGGAAGTTTAAATGTAATTCAGTACGAAATCACAGAGGCCTTACACATGGGGAATCTGATAGTATCACTTAAAGTGGTGCGTGAAGAATAATGGCCGTTGCCAGGGATCAGTTTTACTCACCTCATGGGCCAGACATATCATGTTGTAGTAAATTGTGTGTAGCTGAAGACATTGATTGCAATTAGTTTCCTAAGTACATGAGAGGTCAGATCTATAACGAGGTTTTTTTCCCCATATTATTTCTGCCTGAATGATCATCTCTCTCTGGACACAGCTCAGGCTGTGAGTTTATTCCAGACCACTATAGCAAAAAGTGGCACACATGAGGGAGAACTAAAAAAGCTTCATATTATGGATTATGTGTGCATAGGCTGAGTAACTGTTTTACCACGTGAAAGTGAAATGTGGTGAGAGTACGATGTTTATGAAGAAAGAATTTTAAATGTAGGCATTGCCTTTCCTTTTATCGATCTGATAACTTCACATGCGTTAGTGCATTTACTTATCTGATCCTGCTAGATGCTCTTTATCAGTATAGATCAAGAGGAGGGGTTGCCTTTGCTAAGTCTTTCTGGGACGTTAGTTTTGTTGCTGCCCTCCTCAATGGCCCTGACCAGCCTCACCTGGGGCCTCCACCCACGCCTCTTCTCATGGGCCCTATTTCAGCTCAGCCCTGGTCCTTTAGTCCCTTCCTGAGTCAAGCTTAGGAGTGCTAGTCTCCAGCTCTGCCACAGACATAACCATGCCCTTCCAGTCCCCATGGGGATTTTGTGTGGGTCCCAGCCCTCAGGCTGCTGCATGGTTACTTGATATTCTGTAGGGAGCAAAATCCCTGCAGGAAGAAGTAGGCAGTGTGGTTTTGCCAGGAGCACAGAGCAAATGTGCTGATGTTTACAAGATTCAAAGCTAAATAGATCATCATAGACTTAGGACAAGGTCCCAGTTCTCCTAAACCACAGCAGTAATTTATTTCCAGGAACAAAAAGATAAATTTGTGTCCATTCCTCTATTCTCTACACCTACATTTGAGGGCTGGGCATTGGAATCTTTAATGTCTTTGTGAAGTGCAAAACTGCCTTTTTTTGTGGGTTGGTTTTTTTTTTTGGTTTTTTTTTTGGTTTTTTTTTTTTTTCAGTCCTGCGGCTTCCCAGCCTGTTGTCTGGAGTTAGCAAGGTACATTAAGCTAATTCCCTTCCCTTGGGGCAGGAACACTGCAGCACTCCCCTGTGCCCTGGTGAACCCTTAGTGCTTTTGAAGGGAGTGATGAGCTCCCATAAGTGAGCTGCAGCCAGCACACTCAGCTATTCTCATCTCTCTTTTTCTTCCCAGAATGAGGGAAGTCTTCTCATGCTGCAGCTTCGTCCACCAAGACTTCTGTCTTGCGCCTAGGCCTTCCCTGCTGCGGATACATGACCTGCACGTATCGCTGATGGGGAACTACTGCAGGGGAGAGGTGAGTGTGTCACAGGTGAGGTTGGATGCATGCAATGAAAAGTCAGAGCTAATATGCAGATAAGCCCTGGCCTGTGCTTTGTGCTGGTCCAATTTGTCTAGAAAACATTCTGGAGAAATCCATTAGGTCTCTTGACTGCACCCTCTCAATATGATCTCTCTGTGCATGCTAATATGCCAACTGCATAAGTTTTTCAGTCTTACCGTTTATGCAGGCCTTCCCACTTAAAGTTAATACACTAATCCTGCTGCATAGGTCCACAATAATTAAATATATAAAATATGCCTTGAGGTCAGAACAAGATGGTTCATCTATGACAGCCAACCCACAGCACTTAAATTCCAAGGTGATGTGGACAATACCTGCAGTAGTCTTTTCATGCTTGCTCCTCTTTGATTCCTTTCTTAACACAGTGCTAAATTTGGAAATGTTCCGGTTTTGAGTTTCTTCTTGAGAAGTGGATGCAAAGCTCCAATCTCTCATTTGCTAAAAATAGCAATATATGTGATTCCATATGGAGTGAATTGTGCTGAGACTTGCACCTGCCAGCTCTCAATTTAATACTGCAATTCTTTTGAGACCTCTGTGCAGAACTGAAGAAAAGGTTTTACTGAACTATAAGCTGGACCGAGTCTTTATCGCCTTTGCAAACCACTTGTGTATGTTATTTTTGCCATGTAGACAATCATTTTGAACATATAGCATTTAATTTAATTTCCCCTGGAAATGCAGCTTGATTTGCTAGGGAGATGCATATTTATGGAGAACTCATGTGCTCTGCTACAAATGGAGTGGGCTTACAACGCAGCAAACATGTTTGAAGAACAGCTATACAAGGGCTAGTAGAGCAGGGAAGCTGATGTAACAAGCTGAGAAACTGCCTGTCTTCCTTGCAGCTGACGCATTTATTTGTAAAGATATGGTTCCAATTTTCAGTGTAATCGCCCATCAGTCTCTCAGCTAGATCCCTTGCTCAGATAAATGTGGTTGATCTGCTTTTTTTTTAAAATACTTGCAGCAGTGGACCCTGAAGTAGCAGAAAAAACCCCAAATTTTCTGAGGAAATACAGCAGCAAGATCTCCTGTACGAGGACAGATCACTTGCCAGTAAACTGAGCTGAGATATTCATCTCTATTGCAGATTGTGCTATTGTGACAAATGCTGGTAATCCAGCATCGCGCACCTTTACCTACTTCGGACAGAAATGGGTAAGTTATAGCAGGTTTCCACAATGCAGGTTACTTTCTCTTTCTGCCAGACAAAGCTCTATCCTCCCCTCTGTGGAGAGCTAGAAGAAATACAGCTCTTCCTCTCTCTTATGCCTGGTGCTGCTCTTTAGGAATGGCTGCACAAAGAAGACGGGCATCAGCAGTCCAGGCTGCCCCTCACACCTGCCATGGCCACTCTATGGTTAAGGACCATTTTGCTTCACGTGAGTGATTTAGCTGATCAGCACATTCCTGCCTGGGGGAAGATGCAGTGCTGAATCCCTGGTGGTGATGTGTGATAAATGAAACCAAGCCTCGGTGTTAAGAAAAAGATTGTTCCAGACACGTAAGGCAGAAGGGCAAAATGAATAGCTGAGCTTTGAAGATGAAATAGAAACAATATGGAGAAAAGAAGTGTTATAAAAGTAGTTGTTTCCAGCTAATATGGATGGAGGTAATTTTATGCTTTGGCACTGAGTTGCTTAAGTACCTAATGGTAAATTCTGGAGTCATTGGCTTGGTGCCACTGTGTCTAGAGTTGCATTTAACGCCTTCAAGGGCTTTTCATGCAGGTAAATAAGAAACTGAGCTTTTGCAAAATTGTGGAGTCAGCATCCTTTTCTGTTCACATTAAACCACTTTTTAGTATAAGGTCGTATAGGTGTTCTGTTGAAGGGGATCTGTCCCTGGATGTTTCATATCATCAATTTATCATGCAGGGCCCTGTCATCCTGACTCAGCACAAAAACTGAACCAGCAGGAGCAGGTGAGCAGGAAAACCTGTGGAAAGGCTGCCTGCAGGGAGGAAAATGCTGGCAGATTCTTTTGTCTTTGCTCCCTATAAGCCCTTCCAGCTGGGGAAGAGGTTTGCTTTCCTCAGGTCTGAGGGGCAGCAAGATAGAGACAGAAGGAAGAGGTAACTGTGAGCCAGTTCTTGGTCTCTAATGCTCGCCCCAGGCTCTGTAGCATTATGGCCTCGAGGTAGCTATATGAGGAGGAGGGATTATGACTCTGGTATATATCAACTTTTTGAAAATTATGGGTTTGCCATATATTTAAGCAAATACAGTCAAATTATGTCTGCAGCAAGTAAAAGATGCTTGTAGAAAGTGACATTCTGCGGTGCTTTGTGATGTGCTGGTGTAATCCATTTATGCCTATTTGACAGCTAACCTCTTTGGGAGGCCTCAGCATCAAACTCCAAAACCTGATCAAGTTTGATAAACAAATTTCTTGTATCAGCAGAGGGTGCCATTAACCAAGTAAGGGCCCTCCAGCTCACTGCCAGACCCCATGTGCTCACCCACTGAGAGTCAGACTTCAAAGACAGGATAAAGTGACAGAACCAGTGAGTTGGAAACCTGTCTCTGAGATCCTTTTGGCATGCACCAAGCAGCCACACAGTACTCCACACTGTTTGTTCTTTTGCTAGAGTTCATGTATTTGCAGACTGGGCCTAATTTCTTGGGATTGGGCACTAAAATGCTTATTTAATTTCCCAGGACTCTATCATCAAGGCTGGCTGTATTTGATAAAATTGAGTGTTTAATCAGGCTGTTGCCTGTTCTGTCAAACTATAAATACACACGTGCTTCTGCGTCTTCCCCTTGCTCTGTAAGAGGAAATGGGCTTGTTTTCATGTGATTAGCAGGCAGAGGAACTTGTGAATATGACACAGCTGTACTGTAAAAACGCCAGCCCACAGACTTTGCTGTCAGAGGAATTTAACTGGCAGCGCTGATAGACCCGAGAGCAGGATTCCCTGAGACATGGAGCGAGAACCGATGCGCATAAGGGAGGGTTACTTGGTTAAGAAGGTAAGCGGGCAGTTTTGGACTGAGTGGAGGAGGAAGCTAACTCTGAATAGGTTGGGGAGGTGTGGGGAAACATGCTTCAGTTTCAGTTATTAAAAAAAGGATAATCTTTTCCAAAAAGAAGAAGCAAATGAGCAGAATTCCTTGAGCAGTAAAACAATGTGGTGTTAGTGATGATAGAGGTACTTGCTAGCAGTTATCTCATCAGAATACTGTATAAGGTATTTTGCATATATCTCAGATGTACCTTTGGATCAAAAGATTTGTATTTTTATTAAGTAACCTAACACCCTTAGTGGAAGCTTGGCAAAACAGGTAACAGCTTGAAATGGCCACAGCCTACTCGATTGCATTTAATCGCCGAGTTAAACATCAAGGAAGCATAGTGAGATTAAAGAGGGCAGATCACCTTGGCCTAGAGACAGCATGTGGGGCCGTGGCCACTTCCCTTCTTTGGGAAGGTAGTTGCTGCCCCACAGCAACCTCTGCTCTGGAGTCTTTTGTGGTAGAGCCCATAGGATAAGCGCTTGACTTTCATTTAAATCCTTAGTGAGATCAGCCTGTCTTAAAGCAGCCAAAGTAAACAGTGTCAGTCCTGGAGCAAGAGAGAAGCGCTTTCCTGTGGTGTCTCTGCTCATCAAAATGAGAATTTCACTCATTAGAACAGCTGGCTGGAGGGATCTCTAATCTGGGACTGAGGCCACTCCTCAGTCTTATTTCCACTGACACTGAAAGGAAGTTCATAAAGTAATTGCAACGCTGCAGTGATGCTATCATGAGGAAGGAGAGAGATAAATTTGTCCTGTGCAGATTGTGTATCTCTAGTTCCGATGGCCTGATATATACAGCAAGTGGCTCACAATCTATATTCCTCCATGACAGAGGAATGGCTGGAAACATAGACACTGGGACAATCCCAAACTGTGTGTCTGGCTGGATATGCTGGGGAAGAGATGCCTACAGACGTGCCAGTGTCAGTCCCTCACGTTCCTGTGGGTGCTGGGTCCCCCCAAAGTCTCCCTGTGCAGATAGTACTAAAGTTGCTGCTGGGTGCTGTTGCAACGGCAACAGGGGAAGTGGAAATTGTGCCTGTTGCCTAGATCCGCCTCGGAGGTGGTTCTGTCCTTACAGAATTGAGCTTATGCTGGTGGTGAGGAGCAGCAGTGTGCTGGAGGAAGGGCTGGAGGGCAAAAGGAGCAGAAGATTCAGATCAGATGGGTACTAGCTGTTTGAAACAGTGAGGCTGCCATGAATTCCACAGCCAGGGCTTCCAGTGAGGATGAGCATGCTCCTGATTAATCTTACCTGCTAATTACATACTCTCTTCCTCTCCTTTATGCCTGGAAAGTGAAACCAAGGATTTGACCTCCCAAAGGAGTCATCCATGCAACCACAGCTCTCTCTGCAGAGAGTGAAGGCCATTTGTTACGAACTTTCTCCTCTTGGTATTTACATTAGGCTGGAGAAAATGCTGTGCTTGGGAGTCAGTGCTTTAGCTGGGACAATGTGACTTCCAGTAAATGTGGGTTCAGACTTCAGTGTTGATTTAGATCAGCTTAAACCTCTGTATATTTTGGGGAGCTTGTGTCATCTTCTGAGCATAAGAAACAGCTAACTTTCTAATCTTGTAGTGCTGCAGATGTTATAAAAAGAAATTGTTTCTACCAAAGGGAAGTTGCATGTGTTTTGTTTTTTTTTTAGAGTGGTTAATGATTTCAGAGAGCAGTTGAAGGAACAACCGTCTGTATCTGCAGTCTTTGGAGTAGGCGTGACAATTTGATTTTTAGTCCAGGAAAATCAAATCCAGCATCCTACTTGCTTGTCTTTCATGAGATGTTTTAGATGAGAACAATGTGACCATGTTTGGGTTTGCTGATGGTGTGGATCTGAGACTGCCAGTCTTAACAGTGCTCCGCAGTGGCTTCCATTGGCAGAGCATGTCAGAGCCTGGTCTTCAGGAAGTTCTGGACTTGCCTGTTTATGGGCAGAAGTATTATAACCTGTGGTAAACCCACAAACAAAAGGAAATTGCAGCAGTTTTTGTCTTGACTCATCATCTTAATTGATTTCTTAGCAGAAAATCAACAAGCAGGTCAATTTGGGCTCTCAAAAAATGTTAAATTCTTATGGCTTGTTCAAAAAGAAAAAAAAAAAAAAACACAAAAAAACCAAAAAAACCCCACCAAAAAAAACCCCAAAAAACCCAGCAGTGAACCCATATGCGGTACCCAGATGAGACTCTTTTTCTGTCGTTCCCTGTTTTGCTGGATTTCCAGAGAAACCCCAGGGCAGTGAGTTTCCTTTGGAAGGTAGCATTCATTTCTGGGGCACCTTCTGCTTCCAATGAGGGCTGCGGAGGCTGGAAACACGTCCTGCTCTTAATGAGATCTCAGCTGACAGTTTTCCCTCCCCACCCTGTAATTGACCACAGGGTCTGATTCAGAGTGCAAAAAGCCTTTCTTGGAAGGTAGGGCAGCAAAAAAGGACATGACAGACAAAGGGTTCATTTGGAGAATTAAAAAAAAAAAAAAAAAAAAAGACCCAGCATGTTTTTTTATTCCCTTCACTCCTGCAGAAATACAAAATGCAAATGTAACTACCTCTGCCCAGCTCTCAGGTTTAACAAATCAAAAGAAGCCATTTGCACAGCACAACGCTGGCTGCCTTGCTTCTGTCTGCAGCTTTAGTGCTGCTCAACCACCATGGTCTGAGGAGGACGAGGATGCTGTGAATGGATTTGTAGGAGGCAGGGGATAGATTTAGGTCTCTCTTTGTAACAGAAAGAGCAAGGGAAGCTAAAGTTTTTGAAGAATGGCCTCTGGTTTGGGGCCCACAAATGTTGGTTGTGCTTTGATAACTCTTCAGAGGAAAACTGTTGGTATTCAGCATATCTAAATGTTCATTTGACTGAGCAATAAGTCACTTGGGTATCTGGGATTGTGACCACTTTTGAAGCTGGTTGCAGGCAGGACCAGAGAGGTCATCTAGCTAGAGTGCAAGAGTTTTGGTAATTCTAGCGGTTAATCATGCTCAAGATGGAGAAACAGGTCATTCCTTTCTGAGTCCCTGAAAGTTTTGCTGTGTGTTTCACTATATGTAAGATCCAGCCCCGTCTTTATCTCTGTATTTCTTGCATCTAAGAGCTGTGTTTCAGGAATAGGAAGTAAAAGCTTTAAAAGATGAAATTAAGCACTTCAGTTCCTCACCACAGCAGCTGGAGATCTGCAGCCTCAGGCCCTTAAACTATTCATTACTCTTACAGTTTGTTCTTATATGTCTAGAAATCCTCTGAGATGTGTGCTTTCTTATCAGACAGCCAAGCCTCGATGACTGACTGTATTGTAGCATTAAGTTCAAAATATAGCACAGGATGCCCAAGTTAATGAGACAGTCCTAATGTGCCAGTTCATATCCAGAAATTTTGAGGATTATTCATAATATTGCCACTATGACATCTTGAAGACAGTGGTTGGGACTAACTGATACTGAAAGGCAACACCTGCTGGGGCAGGCGGTACGATTTTGGAAAAACTTAAGGCTGGGGTGACTACAAGGGGAAATTAATGGTGGTCAGAAGAATAACAGTGTTTTTTAACTGCATAGTAAGATGGGTGCGGTTGTGGTATGTTCCCCTTGAGACACTAACTATAGTTATTTTAGCGTCAGTCAGACACTCCCTGAAAGGTCATATGAAGAGTGATTTATTGAACATAATATACACAGTGATTTATTGATGCAGGGCAGCATGTTTAATACCTGGAAGCCAATGTGGGTTGTGCTCTTAGAAGATGGAATTGAATTCTACAAGCGGAAGGCTGACAACAGCCCCAAAGGGATGGTCCCACTAAAAGGAAGTTCTATTAACAGCCCATGCCAAGATTTTGGGAAAAGAATGGTAAGTACTTTTTTGGTAACAATGATTGACAGGATATTTATAGTCCTGGAGGCACCAAAGAGGCAAAAGACTGGTGGTTACAAATTCCTTACACTCATCCCAGGGGCGACTCTCACTTGTCTTAGAAGGTCACAAGCAGGCTTAGACTTGTGTAGTATTTGAAGGGTGTGACTGCTCAGGAAAAATTCAGGATACTTCAAGAGAAGCAATTCAGAAAGTGATTTCTTTTAAATGTTTCAAATTTTCTTTAAATCTCTGAGTCTGTCAGAGAGCAGAGCTAAATTATATTGTTGTGAGGACGCTTAGCAGCTGAATGGCACAATTCCTGTATTAAATCCTGTATCTAGCTGCCACAGAATAAAGGTGTGGGAAACTCTTTCATGAGCAATGGAAGCATTTATTTGTTGTCAAAGAGCAACAACATGGCTTGCTCAGACAGGAAGGAGATAAATGCCGTGACACACATGCCCAAGTAAAACTGTATTTCCAAACCTTTTTGTTACTGTTTGGTAACTACCTGACCCCACACACTTCACATTCATGCAATCTGTATTAATCTTAGTTCAAATGTTGCCAACACATTTGGGATCTCTGAGGTTGAGGGTAGTAAGTGCAGAGACTGAGGTCCCGATTCCCAGTAAAACACACAGATAACTATATTCACAAATTCAGGTTCTTGTTTGACAGAAAGTAAGATACAGGAAGATAAATGTACAAGCATACATATTTTGTTACAGAGTTCCTGAAAAATAGTTGTTGGTAAAACAGGATTTCTAATATGAGCAAATAATCCTATCTTTAGTCATTTGTTACTTCATCAACTCAGTTTCCTCAAATAGGCATTATACACCCAGAGGAATTCCTCTGACAAAGGGGTCCCCCAGAATCTGGAAGATTATCCAGTTAGTTTCAAGAAATTTACTGCAAGGATGCCTGACTAAAGATAGTAGTCTCTGAGCATTAGAAAAATAGAAAGAAAGTGTGAGAGTGTGCATGAGAGAGCAAGCTTCACTTTCTCCTATGAGCTCCTATGAACCACGTTCCTACATTATCTAATTAACAAGCCTCAGCACAGCACTCCTTACTCTATACCTGAGGTATAATGCATGAGGAGAAGGGTACTACGTTCAAGAATATCACAGATCCTACATTATAATGGTAGAAATTAATTTTTTCTCACAAAGCATTCCTTTCCAAACAGTTTCATGGGGTTTTGTTTTTGTTTCTGTTTTTTTTAAATCCAACAGCGGCACTGACATCAGTATTAGTTTCTCGTAGTTGCTTGGAAATATCAATAACACATTTAACAATAATGAAAAGATAATTCACCAGCGTATGTGCATTCTACAAAATAGGCAGAGGGGTCTGAATAATCCAATGGATGTCTAGCTTAGTGACCTAGCTTTCTAAAAGCTAAAGTTAAGAGAAAGAGCTTTCCCAGTCTCCTCTGTGTACTGGAAATGAAAAGCCTTCTTTAGCATTTTTCTGTACATTGCTTCTCAGCTCTTCGACTTCGAGAATGCTGATTTTTCTTTTTTTCCCTTTGGTAAAAGTTTGCTTTAATGCTTTGATATTTCATTCTGTTAATCTGGTATGCTAGCATGACTCTTGGATATTGGGATGCGATCTGTCTGTTTGCTTTTCACATGCACTGTGTATTGATTTTCAGGATGTAGCTCTTTACTGCATAATGGAAAAGGTGGGTGTTGCTGGAAACAGGAACAGTGTCAGATAAGATATGGTTACTTTTCTGTCGAAAATGGATTTTTGAGGACCCACTGCTTTGAAAGTTTGAAATCTCTTTCATGAAAGTCGGTGGGACTTCTGCACAATTTCCGGGTGTCAGAATTTTTCCCATTGGCAACAATCTGGAAGATGTGTATTAGGGATGTTCAGAAATGTGCCATTTACAAACGCAGGCTTCAGTAGACTCATTCAGTATTTTGATTTCATTGCTGTAGATTCACCATTCTCTGCTGTTTGAGGATAGTCTCTGCTTTACTTGCCCTCATAAAGCCATGCTCTTTGCTCGCTGTCATTTTTACATGCCTGCTGTATAAGAACCTGTTGTATTTATTCTACCACAAGTACAGAACAAATTACAGTTCCATTCATAGGGAACTATATTTTAGAGGAAGTGGGAACCCTCTTGCCTGAGTAATTAGAACCAGATTTTCTGTGCAAAAGATCACTGGATGAAAATGAGATCAGTGTGAACTTTGTGTTGTGGTTGTTTTTTGTTTTGTTTTTTTTTTTTTTTTTTCTCTCAGGTTAATGTTACTTTTTTCTCCTTAGAACTACCTTTAAAAGATCTTCTCTCATTTTTGGGAAATACAGTTCTTCTGTAATTGCTAGTTTAAATAGGTAGTGATCATAAGCTGTAGCCAAGGATTGGATGTATCACCTCCCTACCAAGGCCTTAAAGGTTTGCTAGGCTGCAGATGTGTTCAGCTGCTCTCCAGTGTGACTGTGACCTTTTCTCTGCTTGTGAATCAGTAGCTGAGCCACATGATGTGGGGTTTTTTTTCCCCCTCCTTCAGACTGCCCACATCTGAACAAGATAAATTTACACCCCCTGTAAGCCTGCAGGGGCTGGGCACTTCACCCTTTTAGCTGTGGTGAACTTCCCAGCAAAAGTTAAAATCAGCTGTATCAGTGTCACTCACCTTGGCTGTACCGACAACGTCGGGATCACTCACAGGGAAATAAAAAAAAAGGAGTCAGTTAATTTAACTGTGGCTCTAAGGCACTTTCCGTAGTCTCTTAGGCACAGGTAGGCTGTATGTTGTGGTCATGCTAGGTTAATCGTGCCCAACTGGCTACACCAAAATAACTTAAAAAAACCCCATCATTTATCATTGCAGTTTGTCTTCAAACTTACTGCGGCCAAGCAGCAGGACCACTTTTTTCAAGCTGCCTACTTGGAAGAAAGAGATGCCTGGGTACGGGATATCAAGAAAGCAATTCATTGCATAGATGGAGGCCAAAGGTTTGCCAGAAAATCCACAAGGAAGTCTATCAGACTGCCTGAAACAATCAACTTGAGGTTTGTTCTCAAAGCTCTTTTACCCCATGTACTTCCATCTGCAGGCAGTGTGCCAGATACATAACCTTGGTGCGGAAGAGCTATGAGCATGTCTGTCCATGCTACCTCTCTGGTTTCACTCGGAGTCCTTTCTGCATGACTAACAGTTTGAGAGCGTACAATGGGGCAGAAATGAGCTAACAATCACAACTGGGAAGATCATTTTTAATACATCATCTTTTACCAAAACATGCTTATTTATCAAAGGATTTTGCTGATAAGGAGACTTTGGAGCACACTGCAGTGCAAAAGGAGACCCCAGCCAAAGTGTGATTCTTCCAGGAGAGGCATTTTTATACAATATATAATTTATTGCAAAAATATTTTAAATATTTTGTTTGCTCTCCAGCGAAGTGCTGATGTTAGCCTAGTTTTTGGGTGATGAGGGGACAGTGGTGCCTGCCAAAAAACTTGAAACTGGCAAAGGGACAAGAAGAGATAAAGGGCACATGCAGGAAGCCATCTGTCAGTACTTTGTAAAATTAAGGACAACTTATTTTTTGCCTCTGAGCAGTAAATATCAAGATACAAATGAGCCTGCAGAGGTCCTTATGAGACAGTAAAACTGCACAGGGCCAAGATCCGACTAAATCTGCCTTTACAGGCTTCAGCAGAGGATCACGCTGACTAACAGGCCAAAGGACTTCACCTGTGACATTTAATACTTGTCCTTCTTGTCATTCCAGAGCTCCAAGGACTTAGAATTCTGAACAAGTGAAAAGCGAGTGGGAGGAAGGAAGTCACACCCAGGTTCACTGAGGTTACTGAGGGCCTCTGAGAACATGCAGGCTTTGGATATATCACAGTGACAGGTTTTCTGCCCAGCCAAGGACCTTTGGGGGAACACAGCACAAAGCAGTGAACTCCCCTATTGGCACCGAGGCTGTGGGGGCCTGTGCAGGTGCCTCAGCAGTGGGTGTTCCTCTGTTCACACTACAGTCACAGCAAGTTGTTCCATTCTCAAAAGACGGGGGTATGGTGAGCCGTTTGTGCACTCCCCCCTCTGCTCTTGCAGCTGTGGCAGTGATGTAGTGAGGCCACCAGGTTTTGCAATGTAAATTTTTCAGGAGATTAAACTAAGCCATGCTATAGCTCTATAGAGCAATATGCCAGCAAAATGTGAAGACCCCGTGAATGGCAATGATAATGTGCGAACTGGCTAAAGCTTTTTATTTGCTAACAGTTTCTGTGGTTCTTTTTATGCACAGTGCTTTGTACCTCTCAATGAAAGATCCTGAAAAGGGAATAAAGGAGTTGAAGCTGGAAAAAGATAAAAAAGTGTTCAATCACTGCTTTACAGGTAAGGAGCTCTTGTTCCTCTTTTCCATACAATAAAGGGAGCACAGGGCTAGGAGGCTAAAGATAGATAAACCAGCTCTGTAGAGCACAGAGAAATTTGAGAAGAAAACCTAGCAGATGATTTCTTGACCAACACAGGAGGTGCTCAAAGGATGAAGTTATGGCTCTGGTAAGCAAGAGAGGAGGAAAAAATTTAACCAATGCCAGAAAGATTGAAGTAGATCTTTTTAGAAAGTTGCGTTAAACACTTAACTCCAGAAGAATTACTCGTTTCTGAATTTTTCATCAACAAACTGTGTCACGTTGTAATTCCTATCCTGCTCCAAGTCAAATCTGTGGGTGCTAGAGTCGACAGTCACCCTGTTTCGACAGCACTGTCAGTAACGTAGCAGCCCGGAAGACTGCCTTCTCCAGGCTTGGCTGTCCTTTGTACTTCCCCAGTCACTGTCCCTGAGGCTTCCCAGCTCAGCCCTGCATCCCCTCCCAGCTCTCTTCTCCCTCAGGTACAGTGTTCAAGAGTTGTCCTGGCCCCTGCCATCAGTCGGATCGGCTGTACCTCACTGGATGACCCAGGCACCTTTCCAGATTAGCTCTCTGCGTTGTCACTAAGAATATCTTTCAGATTGATGAATAGATGGAGTAGGCTTGTTGCCTGTGTATTTTTAGGCTTTTTCATGTCTGTCTTGATTTGTGGCTGATATTGTTTGTTCCTTTGTAACCAGGCACCTCTGTGATTGACTGGCTGGTGTCTAGCAACTCCATTCGAAATCGCAAAGAAGGTCTCATGCTTGCCTCTTCCCTCTTGAGTGAAGGCTACCTACAGCCTGCAGGGGATACGTCCAAGGCTGCTGCCGAGGGACTGTCAGACACCCCCTTCTTAGATCTCACTGATGCCTACTATTACTTTGTGAGTGTGGTATTCTGGTGTTTTTTTTTGGTTTTTTTTTTTTTTTTCTTGTCTCAGACTCACTGATGCTCTGCTTTGCTCAGGCTTATTGTTGGGTTTCTTAAGTCCTGGAGGAAAGATTGTACAGAAATTGAGAGATCCGTGTTAATTGTCTTTCTGTACGTAATACTCAGAATGAACTGGCTCACTTTGATATTTGTAAGCAGGAAATTTTTTTTCTGGCACCCTTCTGAGTGTGAACTGTGTGCTGAGATCAGGCTGAGTTATTTTTAACTGAAACTTTGTTCCTGGTAATTTCACCAGTGACCAGACTTTAGCCATCAGTTCCCCTGATGATTCTGTGGAAGGGAGGAGAGTAGTTCATTATAACAGGGCTTCTCGGAGTGGCACAAGCTACAAACCCATTTTTGTGCAGTGTGTGTGCACACTCACACACAGTTTGCCTGTGAGAAAAGATGCAAAAGTTTTTAATATTCCCCGATAACACCTGTCCTGGATAGCTTACCCAACCTTTTCAATTGCTTGCTTCATATTCTGTGGATTGATTTGAAGAACTTGCAATACCACAAGCACAGTCAAATACTGTTTTTAAAGATGTTTGGCTTATGAACTTAAAGCTAACAAAAAAGTTTGACTTCTGTCGGGTAAAAATGCTTGAATAGTACAATTCTGTTTATATTTACCACATAGAATCACTTGACTTCAGCAAATATGATTCTCCCACTACTTCATTTGTTTTCCTAGAATGTGTCTGTGGTAGGGAGACTTTACCTGTGCAGCAATGGAAGCAGAGACACTGCTGGGGAGGGCAGCCTTGTGGCCACCACAGTTCCTGGCTACCTGGGATGCTTCTCCTAGCAGCCCATGTGCACTCTGCTCACTTTCAGCTTATTTCTAGTTTGATTCAATACCAGTGTGGTGTGGGCAGGTCACAGCAGGTCAATGTCTGACTTGCTATCCTGCAAGAAGGCGGCACAGACTTTTACTCTAAGCCATATGAATGATTACCTACATTTACATCATTTGAACAGTGTAAGGTTTCAGTAATTAGCATCACAATTTATCTGGTGTGAAATGGATGTGATGCCTGGATCCTGAGACAGCCTATGCTCAGTGCACACATCACAACATCACAGCTATAGAAAACAGCGAATTAAAAAAAACTAGGGCCAGTTCTTGTTGTTGGAGAAGACAGCCAAGATGGAGTATTTCTTCTTCCCAAATTCTAGATGGTTGTGATGGATGGAGGAAGAGGGAGGACCTGCTGGGTGCAGGGATAGCCAGCCTGGAGCGTATTGGCTGTGCTGGCATTGCTTCATATGAACTGCTGCCTGTGCATTTAAAAACCTGTGACATCATGGGATCGAGGCAGCCTGTCCATGATGGAGGCAATATGACACCAAGAATCATGGAGGATGGAGGCACTGACATATACACAGATGCTCCAGCTCTCTTCAGATGCCCTGAGAGTCAGTTGTGTAGTCCTACCTTATACTGAAACGCTTCCATGGTGACTTGGAGAGCTCCTCAACTTCACGGAGAAATCTTTCCAGTAAAAGGGTTGATTTTTTTTTTTTTGGGGGTGGCAAAAAACAGGGTGGAGGGAAGCCAAAGAGAAGCCAGATTTGTACATGTACATAAACATGCAGCAGCTGTGTAACTTTGGAATTTTCTCTTGTGGTCATGCAGCCAGACAGTGGGTTTTTCTGCGAGGGAAATTCTAGTGATGATGATGTGGTCCTGAAAGAAGAATTCAGAGGCATAGTAGTCAAACAAGGATGTTTGCTGAAACAGGTCAGTATTGCACGTGTTCCATCCTGTTGTGGGGATGATGTTGCATGGATACAAGATTACTCTTTTACACCTAGAAGCTTTAGAGAAGAGAGAAACTAGCCTGTGCCATCTCCACACTTGACAGGTTTCATCTCTGTCCCTCTTGCCTTTGCACAAACAACGCTTGTTGTAGCATGGCGACAGAGCTTTGCCCAACGTTGCAAGGTTTATTGCTCTTATTACGAAATAAGACAGTTTATAGTTTAAGAGTGCTAAAGCAGGAGATGTGACAAGTCATTGGTACAATGCAGAACTGAACTCAAGTAAAAAGGCCACCATCCAGTGTCCCTTTGGACACACAACTGGATTCGGTTGCCAGTTTTCCCAGGCTTTTTGAGCATAGCTGAGCAAAGAAGTCCTTTCAGTCAGTAACGTTTGATCCTGCCCCATCTGTAAGACAGAAGAGAACTGTATACCTTCCTTTCCAGCAAAACTTTAAGCAATACTGTGAACGTCACGGTAAGAGCCTTACTTTCTGAGGCCATTGCAAACGGATATTAGTGAACTGAAGGCAAGACCAGGATTCTTCAATGAATAGAATAGTTCAGTTGGAAGGTACCTACAACGATCATTTACTCCAACCACCTGACCACTTCAGGGCTGTCCAAAGGTTAAAGCATGTTATTAAGGGTGTTGCCCAAATGCCTCTTAAACACTGACAGACATGGGGCATCGACCACCTCTCTAGGAAGCCAGTTCCAGTGTTTGACCACTCTCTCTGTAAAGAAATGTTTCCTAATATCAAGTCTGAATTTCCACTGTTAAGTAGCTCCCTTGGGAGTCTAAGAACTTTTTGGTGGTGCTCACTTGTATTTTTCTTGCTCAGTCAGATTACTCAAAAGCAGTGGAAGAAATTAGATACGTGTCTTTCTGCCAACTTTTACCCTGTTACATTCACCTCTGCCTAGTTAGTAACAGCTTCCTTGCAAACAGCATAGTTAATTGAGAAATTACTATTTTGAAATGCTGAGAGGAAGTGATTCATGACAGTCTTCCACCAGTGTTAGACTACATTTGGTCACCCTCAGTGAGTTGTGGATCATTGCTTAGAAGAGTCACTTCTTCTGCTGAGAATGCCTATTTCCAAGACTGAAATGATGGGTGGGGAAAATCTAGATGTGCTGAAAGCAATGAGGCATCTACATCCATCTTGGAAGGTGGTGTTATTTCTGCTTGAGCTTCTCAGCCGTGAACTCTCTCCAGGGTGCTTGAGCCACGTAAGCATTTTTTGTTGTTGTCTTTGAAGGAAGAGAAGAACCTTCAGCTCATTCTTGTCAATAGTCAAGGTACCTTCCTGCAAGACATTTCACAGCCATGTTTTCTGGCAAGCATTTAAGCCCAGATCTCACAGACCTCATGTGAATGTCATAGCTACCAGGCCATGAGATGTGTTTAGGGAAATCTCCCATGTTGAAGCTGTTCTACTTTGTACAAAAATAAAAAGACAAACTAGTATGATAGCCCAGTTGTTGCGCAAAACAATGAGATGCAGAAAGCTCAGATTCAAGTCCTACTCCAGTGAATATTTCCTGTCCAAAATACTCATCTTTTTCCCTTTTGTATTTGCCTGTTCTCTCATGTGTGGGTAAGCTGACTGTAAACACTTGCAGGCAAAGCAGTTCAAGACATTCCTGTTTTAAAATTTTCCTAGGGACATCGGAGGAAGAACTGGAAAGTCAGAAAGTTTGTTTTAAGAGAGGACCCTGCATACCTTCACTACTATGATCCTGCTGGAGTAAGAGACATTTGATCAACTTTGGTTTATTTCCCTGTTTGTTTTAAAGCTGCCTTCCTGTAGAAATATCTGGATGGAGTATTTGCATGGAAATGTGTGATGAGGAAGACCAAGCAGGACAGTGGGGCTGTTTGTGAGAGCGCTGCCTGGCCACCCTCTGGAAAAGCAGAGGGAAGGATGGTTTCTGGGGTTGCCAAGTTGGGGTGGCAAGTGCCACCCAGACCTGGGAATGGGCAGCACTGAACTGTGCTCTCACTTCTTATCTGTGATTAATTAGAATTAATGTGTGCTCTCACGTCATTAAAATGAACGAGGTCATAAGCTCCAGTGAACACAACACAGTCACTTTGCAGTTTATAATCGAGGTATTTTCTGTGTCAGGCTGTGACATGGTATTCCATTTCTTGTGTAATTCTAAAAGGCTAAACTCTGCCCTAAGAAAGGAAGAGGCATTGCCGCTGACAGAACTTGCCTCACAAAAGCTGGCATTCATGTAGATTCATGTAGCCCACAGGTTTTATTTCGTCCTGCATTGCTGCAGGAGCAGTGCCGTGGTGTTGTGAGTTACAGGTGCTTTATGCCGTGCCTGTCCCCCTTGGCAGAGGGCAGCCTAGACATCTTGGAGAATCAACACTGAGAAGTTTTTGACCTCCCTGTTCCCGGTTTGCCTTTCCCGCTCCTGGCTTCCCCTCCCAAAGGGCTAAGGTGTGTCAGCGTGTAGGGGCTGCTTCTTTCAGGCTTATGCCAATAAAAATGCATCTTCACCTGTTCTTTGACTATTAGAGTCTTGAAGTGCATGAGAGGCCAGATTGTAAATAAGGGCATAGCTGCACCTGCTGTTTGGTAGGAATACTTTAAGATCTACTCTTTTTCTAAGTAATCTTTTTCTATTCATTGTGACATCAAAGGAAAAGTTATAGTTGGCACAAGGCTAATATTCTTCATGTACCTTTTTTCAGGACATGCTAAATACTCTGCAGATCCTGAATTTCAAATCCCAAAAGAGATTTCCTATTTATTTGCGGGTCTTTCCCCTACCACACCCCCCACCTTCCATGTCACACACAGACTGAAGATCCCCTGGTTTTCCAGGTGACTTACTATGTCAGCAAATGTTTTTGTCTCCATTCTGGAGTTGTAGCCAGATATTAACATGTGAACAGTTTCAGAAATGTTGTATTTCATTTTGATTTCATGTCCTCACCAGGGAGAAGAACCACTAGGAGCAATTCACTTGAGAGGCTGCGTGGTGACAGCAGTGGAAGATATGCCAGACTGTAAGGAACCATATTGAATGAGCTGTGTAATAAGTTTTTGGTACATTCTTTCAATCTGCCTGAAATCACAAGTGGATTTTACTCAAAGGCAATCTATATGCAATGATTTGGCAATTCTTCTAGTAACTAGGCTCTCTGTTGCCATCTTAATTACTGGAGAAGGATACTGTGGTAAAGGTAGCAACAGGGAATCTTGTGTTTTGTCAGTTGTTTAGAGAAGACTTGTCAAAAGGATGATGCCATCCCTATGTTAAGATAACTGGCCTTAGTCGAAGTAAGCTGAGTTTGCTCTTTTTCGTTGATGAATTTGGGACGGAAGCTTTATGTTAGAAATGGCTATGCCAACAAATTATTACTGCTCACGTTCTGTTCCCTCCCAAAACTAGAAGCTGTGGGAACAGCAATGGTTAAGCGTTGCTGTAAGGACCAAGAAACACTCATTCTATGCATTCTCCTCTCCACGGGAGCAGCAGACTATCGTACAGAGCAGGAAAGTCTGTTGGCATCTCAGCACCTGTGTAGGCTGTGCTGGCAGACATGAAAAGAACCAGAGATTCTGGATGTGATGTGAACTTAAACATCTTGGTTTTGTAGCTGCAAGGCATGGGAGGGTTTGGGGAATATGAACTGTCTGCAGGATTGCAGATCCTTCCATGATTTGAGATCAATTAACCTCTGAAGGTGGCTCCTAAAGGTGAACTGTGCAGAACTCATGGGTTGTTCCTCCAAGAGGGAGACCTATCTTATGGACCCAGTCTTGCAATCTGTTTGCAAAGGCCTGATCAGGCACAGCTGTAGAAAGGAAGGAAATCCACTTACAGTGTGTAAAGGAAGGAACATTGTAAATACAAGACTTTATTCTCTCGTAGCTGACTTCCTTATTTCTTCCCTGTAGCCAAGAAGTATGATGTTGACAACATCCTCTTTGAAATCATCACAGCAAATGAAATCCACTATTACTTGCAAGCAGCCTCATCCACAGAGCGTACAGAGTGGATCAGAGCAATTCAGGCTGTTGCTAGGACTGGAAAATGAAGATGATCTGCCAGCGAGAAGACAGACAACTGGAATTAGTTACTCAAAACAACACAAGAATGTTAGCATTTCACTGAGAAGAAGCAAATACGATCCAGAAAGGCATCCTAAGGCTTGTGGGTTGGGGGTGAGAGCAGGTCGTAAGTTTCAATTTTATAGTGGGCACTAACAAACTAACATTTTTCCACTCGCATTATAGTAATATTTTACTAAATGATACCATAGAACATGCCATATTAGTGTGTGCTGCTTAGAGTAACCAGTCTATGTTGGGAAAGTTTGTACCTTATACCTTGCCCTGCTGCCGTAGCTGATAGTGAGCATTTCCCCATTAACAGGGGACAGAGTCATGTCACTGAGTGTGAGGAACTCAACTAGTCACCTACTGTTCAGCCTCTGTTGTGTTTCAGTATCTTCAGACATTTCAAAGTCTTCCCAAGACAGACTTTACACTTTCTTCTTTACCAGATCTTTTTACTGCTCGGTCACCTATACAAGTAATGCCATAGATTTAAGGAAAGCGAGCAACTCGCTTGGAAACCTGATCCACTCCTTTATAATCCTTCAGTGTTAAGGAAGGGAAGAGTGCAGGCAACTATGGAAACACCATGCAGAAATCAAGTACAACTCAATGACAGCGGTATGAGGAAAAGTCTCTTCCCACAGTATTTCAAACATGAAGTAATCTCTGTTCAACTTGTTTATCACCTGATTTTGACCATTGCTAAATTTCTCCACAAGAATCTGCTCTAGGACCATAATTTCCCTTCATTTAGGTCTCCACAGCAGTTGTTAGGGTGTCATGTACTGTTGATTTGACCTATATTTGAATTAAAAATCTTACAGGAGAAGGGAAAGGATCCATGGGTTACTTGAACTATTGACTGAAGTGGTTTTGTTTAGGTTTTTCTTTCTTTTTAAGCTCCAGCAACATACTGTCATTGGTTCTGTGCCTTAGTAATACAAGAGAAATCTCACGCTTGCTGTAATTGAAAGAAACATTGTTATTCGACAGGGCCAGTCTACCTGATCAATCCTTATATTTTTGTCTGACTGTATGTATCATACTTCTAAGTCTTAAACTTGAAGCAGGAGTTGAAAGTCAAGTTAATGTCAGAATCTACATGTAGACTGTTCCTGATGCAGACTGATGTTTCTGAGTGCAAGTAAACTTCAAAACTTTTAAAACTCTGTTTGTAGATCTAAAATAAGGTACCTTATCCTTAAAAATTCTTATTGACATCTCTTCAGTCTAAAAAGAAATCTGCAGCTAAAGCTTCGCTTCAATTCTGCTTAATTATAACTATATCTGAACTAATGAGCCTGAAAGTCTTTTGCCTTAATATTGCTTATCACAAAGAAAACACAGCCTGGCAAGGGCAGAAGGCTGGTAGACACTGCATCGTCACGTCTTTTTAAGACATCCAGAGGAAATTGGCTTCTGGCTGGCATTTCCTGTGTCTCACACAAGGTGACAGGATCGCTGAAGCCTGGTCTGTCCTTCTGAGGAAGGAAGACTCGTGGCAAAAAGATACCCTGTTTGCTCAGCCTGCTTTCTTGATAATTGCTTTGTGGTTGCTGCTTATTTTTGCTTTCGGAGCTTGCTAACCCAAAAATACCTTATGGAACAGGAAAACAGAAAAAAACCCCGCATAACTAAACAACTGAAACTCACCCTGCTTAGCAAAGGAGGGAGGCAACTGCCAATTTTTAATAAAACTAAAAAGTTTTACCAGTCTTTGACCTTGTCATTTTTCCCTGTGCCCGGTGAAGGGTACAGCTGCCCACCTACGAACGGTATTTTCTCTGGTAGATGATGCTAGTCAGTGTATTTGTGGAGGAGCTCTGACGTTTGTTCCAGATTATATCACTAGGATCTCTAACCTTATAGGTAGTTCTTTTGAAGATAGATTACAAGGGTTTGTAGGTGTCTCTGCTTCTTGGCGGAAACGGGAAGATTGGAAGTGTGTGTCTAATGCCACGCTGCCTACATTTCCTGCTATAAATGCTTTCATTTGCCTGAGACTGGTACTGAGAGTGACTCCAAACTGTTCTTCCTTTCAGTCAGGTTCTCATGCATTTCTTGACATCAGTAATTAGCTCTACGTTTCAGGGTAAATGTGCTCTAGTCCACTTTCAGACAAGGCCTGACAAGAAAAACAATGCATTTGACAGACCTTTCTCTCTGATAAGAACTTCACAAGGAATGAACTGGGGACAACAATTATTATGGGGCAAATTTTCAAAGACATCAAAGACAACCTCAAATGAGGTTTCCTGCCTCATGGCAGTGCTTTTCAAAATCAAAGTAGGTACCTGAATGCCACCAGCAGTCTGAGGTTAGAAATTGTGCATGAGATGATAACAATTGTCACAACCCTTGAACTGAGTCAGGAAAGTTGCTAAGGACAGAGCTACTGGAGTTGAGACAAGGTGGCGAGGACTGTTGTAATATGAGGGAAAAAAAAGGAGGTTAGTTTTACATCACTACAATTTCTAGAGATACTAAATAGATCTTGTCTAAGGGAATTCAGTATTAAAAAGGAAGTACAAGTCTATCATAGATTATGAGGCCAGCCTAGTTACTCAGAAGGCATGGAAGGGAAGAGGCATGTATCCTGAAGACTAGCAGAAGAGAAGAAGGAGCAGGCCTAGTACAAAGAACTGCTAATTGAAAGAGGAAAAACAGAAGAGCAGACCATGTGCAATGCGTCCTCCATCTGTTTTTACCCTCTAACTATTTAAATCGCACTTCTACGCACTCAGCAATTACTACATCAGCATCGGTTCCTTTTTTACTTATAACATGAATTAGTCTTTTTTCATAGACTAAAGGACAACAAATAACTGTAAATAACCTTTTGATAAGAAAACATTTGGGGGGGGTGAGTTTTTTTTTGTTGTTTTTTTTTCAGTTTGTACCTTTTAAAACTATAGGAGGCTGTAGGAGGAACTTTAAAATGCAAAATGAGTAGATAACAGTGGTCTGCTGGTTGTTGGTAGTCGGTATTTCTGTGAGTGCCTTCAGTTTGTGTTTTAAAAAGTGCATGTGTTTTTGCTTGTGAACTGTGGTCTTCTCATTGATGTATAGAGATTTTACCATGCTCATTGTGAACTTCTGTGTGCAGTAGAAGACTTGAAGATGGGCTCCAAATGTCTGTCTCCTGTTTGAGTTTCCTGCTGGTTAACGGGGATGTGTGCTCTAGCATTTTCTTCTCACTAGCCACCTTTCTTGGAGGAGTTTTTGGGTTTGATAGCTTTGGCAGCCTGAGAAACTGCATGTGCCATACAATAAATAGTGCCAAGTTCTTTAGCCTACCTACTTGCATAGTTTTTACGTAACTGTATTATGTTGAGTTTGTCCTAAAGTCAATAAAAGTGGAATATATGTGCTCTTATGTGTTAATAATATGTCACAACATGCAAGAGGTTCTTTTTGAAAGTTAGGATAAAACAAAATGCAAGGCTGTTTGCACAGCCTGTGCTTCAAAGGGTTGCTTCCAGATTACACAATGAAGTAATTGTATGGTTATATTATATATTGTGGAGGTTCAGGCTGGATATTAGGAAGAACTTCTTCACTGTAAGAGTCGTTAGGCACTGGAATGGGCTCCCCAGGGAGGTGGTGGAGTCGCCATCCCTGGAGGTGTTCAAAAAACGTTTAGATGTGGCGCTTCAAGACATGGTTTAGTGGGTTTAGCTGGCATGGTGGCATCGGGTATATGGTTGGACTTGATGATCTTTGAGGTCTCTTCCAACCATAATGATTCTATGATTCTATGATTATTTAGCCTGTAAGATGCGCAGTTCTCAGTGTATGAAGTGTCAGATGTTTGCCCTTTAACATCAGGACACGGGATGGAAATCTCAGTCCTGTTCTTTGTGCCCAATGTTGATGGTGAGTAAGGGGTCTTTCATTTTCTCCACTACCCAGGATTGGGGTTCCTGAGTATCTGTCTCACATCTTTCTGTGTTACTTGTGTGACGGTAAGGAACACAGAGATGACTTAAAAAGCAAGAGGTTGAGGCAGGCTGAGTGTTCTGATCAGTGAAGTGCCGGTGCCTTTCCAGATGACTTTGCCCGCCTGCCACACGTGGCTCAGCTGCTCAAGGGATTGCAATGTGGAGCCTTTGCAATGCTCCCACCTGGCTTCAGCCGTCGCTGGATTGGAGCCTGGAAGAGGAGAGTGTCTTTTGCCAGCTCCCTGGACCTAGCTTCAGTGTGAGAATGAGACTTAGTCCTGGCCAGTCTGAAAAATGAATGCGGCAGGGAGCCGCCATCTGTATCTGTGAGTTGTTTTTGTTGTGTGGGATGATGATATAATTGAAGGTCTGAATCTCATGCATGAAGAATAATTCGAATGTGGTTACTTCATCACCATTTGAGGGTATTTTAGGAACTGCTTTACCTCTTAAAATGGTGGGTTGGTGATCTGCAAGCCAAGCAAAAGAAAAACACCCTTCAAAAACCTCTGAGTGAAAACAAGGTTCTTCTTTTGTTGTTACTCATGAGACTTCTTGAAATAGAGCTGCTCATTTGGTTTCAAAATAAGTTGTTTTTTTTTTTTCCTGGATTAGAACGTAGGACTTCCTGCTTTGCACTTAGAACCAAAACTGTGGCTTTCCACACTTTGTTTCTGGTTCTTACAAATGGCTTAATTTTTTTTCCTTTCAGTTTAGTTGAAGGGAGAGTTAAACTGTGTATGAAAGCTGTGGAAAATGCCACTTTTCATACTTCACTGGACTTCCATTGTAAGTGTAATGGGGTATAGTAAAACTCTTCACCTTCCCCGCACATACTCTACCTTTTTTTAAGATGGCAACATCTTTCCCTTTCTTTCTCCATCCCACTAAAAGATGACTGAGGAGGAGGGAGGAGAGGAATTGAAAGCAAATGCTGATGAAACTGATGCATTTTTGCTTCCAGCAGTTGAAAGGGAGGGAAATTCTGTTAGTAATTTTTTAAAATTTGCCTTCAGTATGTCTTTCACCAAAATCTTGAATATTAATAAACCAGAGTGATCAAGGCAGAGGAGGAGGAGGAACTGGGGATTGACTAGTTTAATTAAAAAAAAAAGGGAGGGAGGGGTAAAAAATCCAAAACTAGACCCCTATTTT